AAAAATTAGCCGGGCATGGTGGCAGGTACCTGTAATTCCAGCTACTAGGGAGGCTGAGGCAGAAGAATTGAATTGCTTGAACCCAGGAGGCGGAGGTTGCAGTGAGCTGAGATCGCACCACTGCACTCCAGTCTGGGTGACAGAGCAAGACTGTCTCAAAAAAAAAAAAAAAAAAAAGTGCCTGCTGAAGCTAGCACCTGACAGGAGCTCTGGGAAACAGGTGAACTACCGAGGCCAGATGGTGAACCTGATCCGATGCGGAACCCCTGGGGCGAGGTAGAGTGGACGGGAGCCTGGAGCGACAGGTGAGGAGCAGTGGGTACTGTCTGGGTGCCTTGGGAAACTGGTTAGGTGCCCCGACATTTCTGCTCGGGGCTCTACAGGCCAGGCTGGACTCAGGATTGAGCAGAGGGACCCATCTTCACGCAACTGGGTCTGGGGGACTGCCCTAACAAAGCTCAGGCGTGCGGGCCTATGCCCAGCCGTCGGGTGTGCACAGGGCGTCTGACTGGCCCTGATGAGACACCTACCTAGAACTGGAACTTTGGGGCTTGACCTTGAGGAGGCCACCTGGGTTGGGCTGGGGAAGACAGGCCGGGGTAGACAGGCCCCAGGGGCAGAGGCCAGGCAGGTCAGTGCCCACCAGCCCTGGCAGAGCCCCGCTCCTCACAGCTCCTCAGAGTGGAACAGCGTGGACCCATATGAACGGGAGCAGCTCCGGGTCAAGATGGGAGGACGGGGAGTTCTGGTGAGCGGCCCTCCCCTTTCCTCCCACCTCTACCCCTACACATCAGCTCTGTGCCCTGACGGGCTGTGCCTCACCTGTGCACCTCCTCCCTCAGGATTCATTCCAGACTTCATGCGGGAGTTCACCCGCCTGGAGATCTGCAACCTCACGCCCGACGCCCTTAAGCGCGGACCATTCCGCAAATGGAACACCACACTCTATGAATGGCACCTGGCGGCGGGGAGCACCGCGCGGGGGGCTGCCGGAACTACCCAGGTGACCTGGGTTCGGGACGCGGGAGGTTGCACAAGGCGGGGCTTTGGTTCTTGCTACTTCCTGGCTTAGGGGCTCCAGAAGGCACGTCATCTCACTGAGCCTTTGTGTTCCTCACTTGCAAGATATAGGCTGATCTCTTGAATTTGCTTTGAGGAGTAAAATATTAAATGTCTTCGCACATTTTAAAGAGGCAAGCTTGACTCACTGTCCTGGGGCCTGAGCCCAGTGTGCTCATGCGGGGAGAAGACCTTGTGGCCATCCAGCCACCTCCTTGTCACTCCTTTCCTGGGCCCTTCCCTCCTGCCTTCTCTTTTTTTTTTTTTTTTTTTGAGACAGAGTCTCACTCCGTGAGTACAGTGGCCTGACCTCGGCTCACTACAACCTCCATCTCCCGGGTTCAAGCAATTCTCCTGCCGTAGCCTCCCGTGTAGCTGGGATTACAGGCACCTACCACACCCAGCTAATTTTTGTATTTTTAGTAGAGGCGGGTTTCTCCATGTTGGCCAGGCTGGTCTCGAACTCCTGACCTCAGGTGATCCGACCACCTTGGCCTCCCAAAGTGCTGGGATTATAGGCGTGAGCCACTGCTCTAGGTCCCTTCTGTCTTCTCTTGCCATCTTTCCCTGGGCTTCTAGATCCATGTGGCTGACACGGGCCACAGCCTGGCCTCTCAGTTCCTTGTCACTCTTACCTGCAGCAGGCTTTTCCTGTACCTTAGCTCAGCCCTCACCACTAGGGCACCAGAGCTGCTTTGCCTTGCAAACAGCCGCTCTCTGACCTCCACCTTGGACTCTTTCTACTCCCTTAGTCTTCAACCCTTGGACCAAGCCAGCCCGTTGAACTCACCACTTGTATACCATCCTGCCTCTCCCGTCTTGCCTTTTCTCCTTACCTAGGTTAGAGCTATCATTTTAATCTTGTTCCTACAAACACCTTCTGTCCCCTGGCCCCTGTCTCCCATCATCTGGCACAAAACCCATCCTAGTGGAACCCAGCTCTCCACCGGCTTGGGAACCATTGAGTATGGCAGGAGAGAAATCACATAACTGATGCCATATTTTCCCTGTAAATTCATAGCCACAAATCTCAAATAAGCATTTTCCATGATCCCCAGCAATTCCACTACTGGTTAGTAACGATTCCACTCTCACCTCCACCTCTCCCCATTGTTACTCTCACCTTCGGGCCTGGCCTTACACATCATTGAAATGATAGACGTCATCCTGAAGGACACCTCGTGTTCCCACCTCCAAATCCCCCAGCCTTCTGCACCTGTGCCTGTGTCCTCACTGCCTCCCCACCTGCGACAGTGGCAGAACAGTCCCTGCTCATGGGGACCCCCACCTCTGCTCCGGATCCCATTCTCCCTGACCTCTGAAAGCATTTGCTCCTTCATCTGTCACCTCTCTCCAGCGTCATTATGGAAAATCCTCTGTCTTCACACAAAGCAGCCCTCTCGAACCCACTTCCCTGTTCATTTCTCTGCCCTCCTTCAAAGCACAATTTCTCGGGAATTACCATACTCCCTATTTCCTTTCTCACTTCTGCTTCATTGCTTAACCCTTCCCAGTCCAGCTTCATCCCTACCATGCTGCTAAAACCGCCCTTTCAAAGGTCACTTACAGCTTTGGCCTTGCCAGATCTGCTGCTGTGCTGTTCTCCTGTGCTTCATTCTCAGCACGGCTCCCTGCCCTGTGTTTTGAAGCATTCTTCTCCCTTGTAGGGATCCAATTTCAGTCTTTCCCGAAATAGATAACCACCGTTCCCTGTACCATTTATTGAGAAATACATCATCTCCTCACTCCCCAGCAGCACCAGCGCCCTCACCTAGTCCCCAGGTATGTGTCGGTCTGTCCCTGGACTCACCAGTCTGTCCCTGGATCTATCCCTCTGCCAATAACACATTGAATCCATTACTATAGATGTGTAAGTCCTGCTGTTGGATAGGCAAATTCCTTCTTCAACAGTCTCTTAGCTGGTTTTTTTTTTTGCTTTTCTTTGTTTATCTTGGATGGGAGTTCTTGCTTCCCTCGTTGGCCCCAGAGCTAGAGTGCAGTGGCACGATTCTGGCTCACCTGCAATCCTCCACTTCCGTGGTTTCAAGTTGATTCTTCGGCCTCAGCCCCTGAGGTAAGGCTGTTGATTACAGGTAACCTGCCACGCACAACCAGACTAACGTTTGTATTTTTATTTATTTTATTTATTTTTTTGAGACGGAGTCTCGCTCTGTTCACCCAGGGCTTGGAGGTGCAAGATGGCCGGAATATCCAGCTCAACTGGCAAGCCTCCGCCTCCCGGCGGTTTCCGTCATTCTCCTGCTCCAGCCTCACCGAGTAGCCTGGGACGTACAGGCGCCCCGCCACTCGCCTGGCTAGTTTTTTTGTATTTTTAGTAGAGACGGGGTTTCACTGTGTTACCAGGATGGTCTCGATCTTCCTGACCTCGGTGATCCGCCCGTCTCGCCTCCCAAAAGTGCTGGAATTACAGGCTTGAGCCACCGGCGCCCCGGCACGTTTGTATTTTTAGTAGAGAGACAGGGTTTCACCATGTTGGCCAGGCTTTTCTTGAACTCCTGATCTCAAATGATCCACCTGGCTTGGCCTCCCAAGTGCTTGGATTACACGGCGTGAGCCACCCGCATCTCTGTCTTAGCTGTTCTTGACTTTGTTTTTCCAGATGAATTTTAGGATCAGTTTACCCGAGTCCTGCTGAAAAACCATTTTGAGGTTTTCATTTGGAATTTCATGAAACCTATAGACCATATTTGGGAGAATTGACATTTTTATAATTTTAAGTCTCATCCAAGGATGTGGTGTATCTCTTCATTTATTTTGACCTTTAATGTCTTTCAATAGAATGTTGTATTTTTATCATAAAGAATTTATACATCTCTTGAGATTTAATGCTAGGTACACTATAATTTGTTTGCGCTATTATAAATATTATGTTCTTTTTTTTTTTTTTGAGATGGGAGTCTCACCCTGTCACCCAGGCTGGAATGCAATGGGGGCGATCTCAACTCACTGCAACCTCCGCTTCCCGGGTTCAAGTGATTCTCCTGCGCCTCAGCCTCGACCGAGTAGCTGGGACTACAGGTGCCCCGCCCACCAACCGCCCGGCGTAATTTTTATTTTTTTTTGTATTTTAGTAGAGACGGGGTTTTACCATGTTAGCCAGGATGGTCTCTATCTGACCTAGTGATCTGCCCGTCTTGGCCTCCCAAAGTGCTGGGATTACAGGCGTGAGCCACCGTGCCCGGCCTTGATTTTTTATTTTTATAGAGATGGGGGTCTCACTATGTTGCCCAGGCTTATCTCGAATTCCTGGGCTCAAGTGATCCTTCTGCCTTGGCCTCCCAAAGTGCTGAGATTACAGGCATGAGGCACTGTGCCCAGCTCTGAGTTGTATTTTCTAATATTCTTTGTATCTGTTTTCAAAGTTATTAGCACAAAGTTATCCTTAATATACTGTTATGTCTCGTGTGTAATAATGTCCCCTTTTTATGCATGAGATTGCTCATTTGCACTCTCTTTTGTCTTTACTAATTCTTCAAGAAGTTTGTCAATATTAATCTTTACAAAGAAATGACTTTTGGCCGGGTATAGTGGCTCACACCTGTAATCCCAGCACTTTGGGAGGCCGAGGCGGTGGATCACAAGCTTAGGAGATTGAGACCATCCTGGCTGACACAGTGAAACCCTGTCTCTACTAAAAATACAAAAAATTAGCTGGGCATGGTGGTGGGCGCCTGTAGTCCCAGCTCCTTGGGAGGCTGAGGCAGGAGAATGGTGTGAACCTGGGAGGTGGAGCTTGCAGTGAGCCGAGATTGCGCCACTGCACTCCAGCCTGGGCAACAGAGTGAGACTCCGTCTCAAAAAAAAAAAAAAAAAAGAAATGACTTTTGACTTTGTTGGTCCTTTGTATAGTATTTCTTTTTCTTTTATTATTTTTACTTATTTATTTAGAGATGGGGTCTTGCTCTATTGTCCAGGCTGGAGTGCAGTGGCACAATCCTAGTTCTCTGTGATCCTAGGTCACTGCAGGCTAGATTCCTGGGCTCAGGTGATCCTCTCACTTCAGCCTCCCAGGTAGCTGGGATTATATGTGTGTGTCACTGTGCCTGGTAGTATTTTTTTCCTTTATCATTGATCTTTACTGCTTATTATGTCATTCCTTCTACTTTCTTTGGATTTATTTATTTTTATTTATTTATTTTTTTTTTGAGACGGGGTCTCACTCTGTCACCTAGGCTGCAGTGGTGCGATCTTGGCTCACTGCAACCTCCATCTCCTGGGTTTAAGTGATTCTCCTGCCTCAGCCTCCCAAGAAACTGGAATTACAGGCATGCGCCACCATGCCCGACTAATTTTTTTATTTTTATTTTTAGTAGATACCGGGTTTCACCATGTTGGCCAGGCTGGTCTTAAACTCCTGACCTCAAGTGATCCGCCCACTCTGGGCTCCCAAAGTGCTAGGATTATAGGCGTGAGGCACCATGCTTGACCTGGATTGATTTTTTGACTTTATTTTATGACTTCTTAAATTAGATGCTTATTTCGTTAATTTAGATTTTTAAAATTTAAGTGCCGGGCGCGGTGGCTCACGCCTGTAATCCCAGCACTTTGGGAGGCCGAGATGGGCGGATCACGAGGTCAGGAGATCGAGACCATCCTGGCTAACACGGTGAAACCCCGTCTCTACTAAAAAAATACAAAAAACTAGCCGGGCATGGTGGCGGGCGCCTGTAGTCCCAGCTACTCGGGAGGCTGAGGCAGGAGAATGGCGTGAACCCGGAAGGTGGAGCTTGCAGTGAGCTGAGATCCGGCCACTGCACTCCAGCCTGGGCGACAGAGCGAGACTCCGTCTCAAAAAAAAAAAAAATTTAAGCAACTAAAGTGATAAATTTCCTTCTAAGTACATCCTTAATTAAGTTACACAATTTTGATACATAGTGTTTTTGAAAATTGTGAATGAATATAATTCACACACCAGAAAATTTG